GGTGGACACTAACAGGTCACCGGTCATCAGACATTTGCCGAGTACAGTGGAGGTTTGAGCTTCCTGGTCCAGTGGGGGTCTCAGTGAGATGTGGACTACTGACCAGAATTAGATAAATAAAGCAAAAAAGTGGAGTGTTGCCTCATGGCTGTTTGAAAAAGGTAATCTTCCGAACCTGAGTTTATGGAAGCCGGACATACTCTGAAACCCCACAGCCACAAATATTTTCAACTTTGAAGCAATTCTAGAGCCTGATATATCTGGTAGATCAAAGACCTTAGCTGTAAGAGGCTCATTAAAACATGCAGAAGCCTGCATGACAAATGAAGAAAGAGTCAGATTCTTTGTGAGGCGGCAAGAGGGTTCTGGGTTGGAGTCCCGGGGGAACCAGGACCTTTCTGCCAGAGGGTTCTGGGTTGGAGTCCCGGGGGAACCAGGACCAGAGGGTTCTGGGTTGGAGTCCCGGGGGAACCAGGACCTTTCTGGGTGGAGTCTGCATGTTCTCCTGTGTCTGTGGGTTCTCTCCGGGTTCTCCGGCTTCCTCCCACCGTCCAAAAACCTGCATGTTAGGTTGTTGGACTCCAAACTGCCCTCGGTGTGAGTGTGTGTGGGCTCCAGCCCCCCCGACCCCATTAGGGAATAAGGGGCTATGATAATGGATGGATGAAATTCTTTGTTTGTTTGAGATCAGTTTTCCCTTTCAAAGGTTTCTTCCTGTTTCCGTTTGTCTGGCCTTTAACGGCTGTTTTCTCCCCCCGCCCCTCCTGAAGGTGCAGCTCTGACTGAGATGGCGGTGTGGTTCCACTGCCACTGGACGGCCCTTTTGGCTCTGGCCCTCTGTTACCTGCCTTATAGCACCTCCTCCCTCAACCTGGAGGACCCCAACGTCTGCAGCCACTGGGAGAGGTCAGTCTCATCAGTCTCTGTTACCCTTTATGAAGCAAACATGGGCCAACCTTTGGGAGATGCCCCGTCCACCACTCAGAACTGAGTAGAGTAAGAATGCATCCAGAAATGGAGCCTCATTCATTCAGCGTAAAACCCAAACTCAGCAGGTATCAGCGGACCTGCAGAGGATCCGTAGCACAGCCCGGTTTCAGGCCCCCTGAACAGGAGCCTGTCCCTGTTAGGGCTGGAGATCATTGGTCCAGCACATGGTTCAGTTCTGCATGGCTCTCCTATATCCTAAACCTAACCCAACCTAACCCTAACCCCAACCCAACCTAACCCTAAACCCAACGCCACCATACACTAACCTAACCTAAATCTAACCCCAACCCAAACCCCATCTCCCAACCCTAACCCTAGAAGAGTGGAAGAGAAAACCTAAATACAAGGAAGAACTGAACAGAACAGGGGGTGCCAATCTAAATTAAGAAGAAGAAAAGGGGAACACAGAGAAACACAAAAAAGAGACCTGAAGAAGACCAAGAAGAGTCGAAACGTAGTCAAAGAGGAAACAAAGGGCAAAGAAATACTAAGAAAAGGTAACCTAAGAAAAGAGTGCATGCAAACTAAGAATAGGGTTAGGGTTAAACTTATTACTAGATAACAAAAAAAAACAAGTATAAAAGTAAAAAAGCAGGATGGACAGTACACTCC